TGGGAAGCCATCTTTGTTAAAAGTATACCATATGCATTATGTGAAGATTTATATGGAGGTTTCTTCCCTGGACAGGAAGACAGATATGTAGGGAGGTATAGGACAGAATTTCAGTTTTAACATTCTTCTTTGTAATCACTTGAAACTTTTACATGTTGAATGTTTTTAAGAACTGTTACATACACTATTTTATATAAAAAAAATAAGATATACTAACAAAAATCCTTCAAAAAGTACTTTTCCTCTGAATCAGCAGGCAGTTTTTGCTTCTTGGAATAAGAGTTCCTGCTGGACTTGTTTGACAGCTCACGGCTGTCAAACAAGTCCATGCCAAAATGATGACATCTCCCAGCTGGCCTAGCTGAATCCCTTGAAAACCCCAGGAATAGGCATGGGGACTTCTCAGCTGGCTTTCCCAGCCTGCTGCCCTGCAGTCACCTGTACTACAAGCAGACTGATAATAATAACATGGCACTGAATTCCATTATGAACATCATACTTTATACAGTAGTTCGGATCCTCACACTCACAAATGCTAGATTTTTTGCCATTGTAAAATAATATACTTATTTCCATGTATTCCCTTATATTTACATAGTTCAAAACACCATAGATAATTAACCCTCTTCCTGCCATGGTCATACTCACTGTTTTCTCCGCATCTAGCTAAAACACACATTGCAAAGTTTAGAACTGAGCTGAGCTCCAGGCGGATAAACAAAACACCATGTTGCAGTTATGTATTTAAAAAAACAATGGTGATCTCCTGTACTGCAGTACTAACTGAGACAGAGGGGGAACACTAGGGGCAAACAGGGTCTGTTACATTAACATGTGCTGACAAGGAACATGTTGACAAGAGTAGAAAGCAGAGAGAACACCTCATCAGTCTGTTGCTGCTTCTTCGTTGTCTATCCATAACTTGGGAACAGAGAGGTGACATGGCTGTGTTGTAGTAAAAAAAATCAGGTCATCTGTTGTTTATCGGGGCTGTGTACATTTTAGGATTGGTCAGACAGAAATATATATGCTTTGGCAGGTAAAACAAATACAAATACTATATTTCCATTTCAACTGTTTATTTAACAGTTTCCCTTCAGTTCAGCTTTCAAGAACTCAAAACCATATATTTTTGGAAAGCAGAGGTCATGCATTAATATGTGCCACAGTGATTTTTCATTAAGTTGTAACTAGAGTGTGTTGGGATTATTATTATTATTACAGGTATTTCTATAGCACTGACAATTTACAGTGCACATTCACATCAGTCCCTGCCCTTATGAAGCTTACAATCCAAGGTCCCCATACATACACATACATGCCAGAGCCAATATAGACAGGAGCCAATTAACTTTCCAGCATGTCTTTGGAGCGTGGGAGGAAACTGGAGTACCCAGAGGAAATTCACATAAGCACAGGAAGAACATGCAAACACCTTGCAGATAGTACCCTGATCAATATTTGAACTGGGGACCCCCCCCCCCAATGCTGTATGGCAGAGGAGCTTACCACTAAGCCACTGCTGATTATAATCCTTGAACAATTTTAATGCTATTTGTGTCACAACTGGGGAGATTCACCCTACCCATTTGTTCTGGGGGCCACTGTGAGGCCTCATTCACACAGGGTAGAGTGGGGCCGTACAATTCCGTGCAGCGTGCATGGCCATATCAGGCCATTCCAGGGAAGGACAGGTGCTGCCTGTAATTGTACACAGCAGCCCGTTCTTCCTTTATGGGAGGACGCGGCCATACGCTGTCGTAAGGAATAACCACTGTATGCGAGGGGGTATGTATATGTATTAAGCTTTAATTTACTAAACTTTCTTGCCATAACAGTCATTTTTTCTGGCCATGTGATTGTTATTTTCAGATCACATTGGCTGTCATTGCTGAAAAGAAGCCATTACAACAATTGCCGTGTTTAGTTAGCTAATTTTTATTGAGATTGATAGTTCATCACGGAGCGAGCTTGGAGCGATGGCTACTTTACAACACATACAGGGGCCATGAGGAACAAAAGTAGCCACCCTCCAGAAGGAAGGACAGTGTCGGCACCAATTCAGAGATGATTTGAGGATGTACAGCCGAGTGATACACAAATAAGATACATTTTTGTTAATAGTTAAAGTACTTGAATGCATTTTTAAGATTTAACTCCTGAGTTTAGTGTCACTTTAAGAGCGCCGTACAGCTCGAGAAGTGATCAGCTGCTTTTGTTGTAAGAAGCGTTTAGCTGAGCACTTTCTTATTTCATTTCCAATAAAATCCAGCAAGCTTTATTTAATCCGCACAGTTGAAAATTGGCATTAGATTAAATTCATAGCTAAAATCCACAATTTTTTGTGCTGTCAATAGAAACATGAATAACTCACTGTGCTGAATACTGTGATGAATGAAGTGATGAATTGAAGGTACACAGAAGTCAACTTAAGTTTTCAACTAGCCTAAAACCTTTTCATGATTTACATGGTGATCTCACTCCCAGTAGATGACCTTCACCCTAATTTGTGCTGACATATGTGTTGCCCCTGCTCCCTGACTGTCTGGGCATGAAAAACATGGGTCTAAGCAGATCTTGACTAGAGGTAAGCCAATGAACTTGCAAAAGACAGAAATCCCAATTAATCTGCCAGGTTTGTTTTGTGCCAAGGCAGTGACAATTCAGTTTGTTGGCTAATCTGTTTTAATAAATGAAGTTGTAATGTGACCCAAAGGACGACTTACTAGCTCAATTTTAAATGTCAGAGTGGCAGTGAGGTTTTCCTTACAAGAAACACAAGCTTAAAATAGTATACTACTTACATTTTAAGCTTTTATATCACAGGGGATGAGGATTCTCTTTTCATTACCCCCCTGTGTCCTCAAAAGCAGGATCAGTTGTTTGGCATGTGCACTTGAAGGGAACTAATAAATTATTTTTTGGGGGCACTTTTACCAGTCTACTGATACCACTAGACAAATTAAATATTCCAATAGCAGAGTAGATAGGGGATTCATTTTGCCAAATTTCTAAATAAAGTGGATTTTTCCATTTTGCTCATCCTAATCTTTATGTCTCTGCATAGCCAAACAGCGATGGGCGCCATGCTGAGATAAAACGTTGAGCCTTTGTGGAGTTTTTGTTTATTCTAGCAGCATTGTCAGGTTGCAAATATAGGTCACTGGCCAACAATGCAAAATGCAGGGTGCTGCAAAGAAAGGTAATTAGAGCTGAAGGGACCCCCATTAAACTTTTTCAGTAGGGCTCTGTGATTGTTGGTAATGCTTTCTTTTATGTACCATGTTCCACAGCTTTATTGCCTTCTTACAGCCAGGGGCATATTACTGAAAACCTGAACCCATGTGTGGCTCCAGGGCCACATTCCCAGCATCTACATTTGTTGCTTTCAAACTACAGAAGTTTATCTAAAACTAAATACCAAGGTACTGGGGTCATCGGTCCGAATGCCGACTATGACGTTATCTGCATTGAGTTTGCATGTTCATCCTGTGCTTACATGGGTTTTCTCCAGGAGCTCTGAGTTCCTTCCACACTCCAAAGACATGCTGGAACGGCAATTGGCTCTTGTAGATATTGGTCATGGTGTACATGTATGTATGCATGTGGGATAGGGACCTTAGATTGTAAGCTCCTTGAGGGCAAGGAATGATGTGAATGTACAGTTTGTAAAGTGCTGCGTAAATTGGCAGTGCTATATAAATACCTGTAATAAATAATCCCAGCACATGGAGCTAGCTTGATGTTAGACTTCTGTAATCCTATTGTAGCCCTGTTATGGGATCCGCTCCTTTAAGAGAAAAGATATTGCAGCTGCAGGTGGAGCCAGAGAGCACAGCTTTGTGGGGATTGTGGACACAGCCACTGAGGAATGACAAATGAAAATGGATACTTGAACTAAAATTCCCAGAGTGCTAAAGGGGAGAAGGGAAGTAAACTCTGAGGGCTAAAGGTTGCTGGGCGGAGTCTAGTGTGAGGAGACAGGGAGGCCAGACTGCTGTTGCTTGTGTTGTGCAGCCAGCTTGTGGAGAGACTGTGCTCACTTGTCACACGTGCAGTTCTGAAGTGACATCTTCTGCACAGAGTAAATGGCTGTTTGTTCCTTTCTGGAAGAGGATCCTCTGGGGCTGTGAGTGATGTGCCATCCTGCTGAAAGGCCATTGTGGGCGGCGACTCAGCCCGGACAGACGCCAAATGTGATGACCAGAACCCGGACGGACGCCAAATCTGATGACCAGAACCCCTGATGACATCATACTTCAGCTCCTATATACAGTTCTTCATCACAGAAGATAATTGCTGACATCCCTGCCGGCTACAGACGGACATCTCCCTCCGTGTATGGGTGAGAGGCCTCTGGCCTGCTGTTGTCATTAACAGTACACACAGATTTTCACCGTTTGTATTGGGCCCCAACGTTGGCTAGCTGAAGAAACTACCACTGGCCAGTGGGTTAGGTACCCGGGTACATTGGGACTAAATATATATATATACTGTATATATACAGTTTGATTACTGTCCAACAAGTTCACAGTTAGAATAACCGCATTTACTGATCATCACTGTTATGCTGATGTCTCATATACAGTCTCTGTGTTATGCTGTGTAGAGATAAATGTTGATGTTGTATACTGCTATTCAGATTAATATATACAGTAAATAGTTATTTAAAATCTCACAAGGTGTGCTGGTGTGCTGTGGATTCATTGTTTGTGGTGTGTCACAGAGGTGATACAGAAGACCTGATCATCCAGCGGCTCCTTCGGGGGTGAGCGCTACACTATGTACAGGGGAAACAGATCAGGACTCTTAGCCAGTCAGAGCTCTGTTGCTTTGTGCAGGGAACACAGAGATGACAGATCTGGCTTTGCTTTCTAGCAGTTGTGCCTGGATTGCAACTCTGCCTGAACAGAATAAAAAATCGTATGGCCGTTAAAAAAATCTTCATATATTTACTGTGTATTCAGCTTAGAGACTACGTGGCAGGACTATGAAGATACCTGGGTGGTGTTGGATCAAGTCAGTTGTGTGTTCCAGCACTTCGTAAAATTCATCCATGCGGAGCAGGGACTGACAGTAATTCAGAATCAAAGTGTTAATCATCTTTTCCAGTTTCATCCACGGCACCTCCCATGGCTTTTCCTGAAAGCAAAAATTAGTATGTCAGAGATGCTACTAGGCTGATTTTTCTTTCAATCTGTGTCCCATTGGGGAAATGTCCTTTTACTTCCTGGCTGGTAGCCACATAAGGAACTGAGAGGAAATTTGTCTGTTTCTTTTGGGTTAATATCCAGTGCAAAGCTGTGGTGTAAAACTCAGAGGCTGACCTACACTCACATAGCTCTTCAGATTCCACATAAAATATGACTATTTTTCTCCACAAGTGTGGGAGCCATTGGTTCCCTTCCAATCACTATTTAGGGGTTACATTTTTAAAGTTTTACGCTGGGTGGATGCTGGTTGCCTAGAGTTGTGACTTGTCAGTGCCATCTTGGCGCGCTAGTGCCATCTTGGCGCGCTAGTGCCATCTTGGCGCGCTAGTGCCATGCGAACAACATCCAACCAAAACTTTTATATATGAACCCTTAAGTGTCCAGATCAGAGTTTCTCAACCTTTTATCAGTCTCTGCAATCTTCAAAAGTATGCAAAATCTCGAGGCACTCCAGTCTAAAATGTCATAGTCACCCTTTGCATCAGTAGCCTCCTTCACATCAGGAGCCCCACGTTCATACCAGAGTCACATCAGAGGCCCCCTCTTTCACATCAGACTTCACACTTTACATTAGGAGCCCCCTTCACATAATTTTTAATTCACATCACAGTCCCACTACCAAAAAATGTTAAGCCACCCCTGAGGAAGCCAGGGGGAACACCTCTGCGACATGGCACCCTGGTTGGGAAAGGCTGGTCTAGATTTTAAAAATTATCTGCAGAAAACTGGGCAAACGATGATATATACAGTTGAACTGTGAACTGTTTTAGCTATCAAAAATGTGACTCACAAATGTCTGCCGCGCTGTAGAACAAGAAAGATGATATTACTAGTTCTTCATATAGCTTTGCCAGCTTCCAACGTCACCTCTCTGCCTCAAGCCTGTCCTTTGGACAATGAATCAGCATCACCATGAGCAAACAAAAAAGCTGCAATATTGACCTGGGAAACATTACAGTCATCTTCCTGGCTGCCCAGTGTGGCAGGGGTATGCGAATCACAGAATTATAAAACCCATCGCAGCTAGAACAATTCTCATATATATTCTGCCTGCTTATTCAATCATTTTCCTGTATTTCTGCTTTAAACTTTACAATATACACATGGTGGTGTATTTATAAACAATCCACAGAGCCATTTGTCCTGAGTAATTGCATGTAAATTCGTTCTGTGTCGATGGAGGCAAAAACACATGTTATTAGCATACTTTCTTTCCAAACCAAATGTAATATCAGGAAAATACCCCATTATAGCCACTATGTGGCACTTAGGAACATAGGACATAAGGGGAACAAGGGTAGATTTTTTTGTACAATCCCATAGTTCAGCTTTAAGAAGTTTGCAAATACAGTGGTCCAAAAATCTCCCCGTCAAAATGGCTGCCTTTCTTTAAATTTAATGAAATACCTTAGTCTGTATATTTTTCAGACAAATAACAGCTTCTCTGTATTTATTGGTTGCATCTTCATAGCGTCCAAGTTTAAACAGTCTGTTTCCTTCTCCATGCAGGACAGGGACTGCTTTTAGCTTTTCGTCATCACTTAGGGCCCATGTCTCTCTTTTATACATACTGGGTGATTCTACCTGTCACACAAATAAGAATGCATGATTTATTAAGGTGAGAGATGATAGGTACATACATAGATGTCAACTGTCTTACCGATTAAAGCATTTGTAATTCTGTCTAGCAAATTTTGCATATAGTTCTGTTGGACAAGACAGCCAAAAGTGTGACACCACTTTCTCTTTTTAGGAATATATTAGCGCCAGCTTTACATCCGTGCTAGAAAAAAAGTTATACTAACCTGGAACCAGCTAGCTGCTACTCTGGTCCCTGAAGCCTGTCTCATTCCTCTGGTGCAGCAATGGTATGTCCCTTGGCATCCTCACATCCTATACACTGTGTAAAAGAATGTGATGACTCAAGGATCTTTAGATGGCTGCAGAGGAGGGGGAGAGAGGCTCCAGAGACCGGTGAGCAAGCCAGCTCAGAGGATCAGGTGAGTATAACTTTTTTTTAGCACATATCAAAAATGAGCACTTAACTCTTGCAGTGCAGGAGTAGCCCCACTGCAAGGGTTATGGACACTTTTGCATGGAATTCTGCTTTAACAAACCTTCAGGTACTTGTGCTAGTTGTATGTAAAAAATACACACACCTGCATTAAATTGTGTTTCTGCTTGAAGTTTAGCTTTAAAGCAAACTGGTAATTTGCAGAGGTCTCTCCCCCCCAATCCCCTGCAGCGTATACTTACCCTTCATTTACTCCCCTTGCTACTTAATTCATGATGAACCTCCATGCACAAAGCACAGACATACTTTAAAGTAGAACTGAAGCCACAACGTTTTTTAGTTTTGAGTAAGAGAGGGTTATGCACCTTGTCAGCTTTTGTTGGCATCTGCGTCTAATTGGAGAGATTCCTCTTTACTTCCTGTCTGATAGCCACAACAGGAAGTGAGAGGAAATCCCTTCAAAGTGAGGGAAAACCTTGGTTGTCATTAGGGTCACCAGAACTGCTCTCCCCATTGGAAAATTTCCCATCTATTTCGGCTCTGATGTCATCCTAAAATCTGGCATTTTCGTTCACTTTCAGTGATAACAGAGAAATAGAGAGAGTGAATCTCCCTAATGGGGGACGCAGATCACAATAAAATCCTGACAGGGGTTCTAACCCTCTGCAGTCTATCCAAAAGTTATGGTTTCAGTTGCACTTTAAGCATGTTTCACATAGACATTAAGAGCAATTTGACCTGAGACAGGATAACATGGATGCTGAAATCACACCTGTAGGGGTCTACCCCCTAACACCCCCTGTAATAAAGCAGTAGTTATTACTTCTCGCCAGTAGGCTGTGCTTTGCTGTGGCAGAGTACTGTGCTGGAGAAGTATCATTCTGACAGTGGTTCTGTGTTAGCCAACCAGTGCAGTAAACATCATAGTAGGAGGGATTGACTAAAGCAAAACCCATGAGCCTGCTCAGAACTGGGGTTGTGTTGTACCTGCCACTCCCATTGTGCCGCCCCAACAGGGGCATAGAATATGAGATGCA